TGCTAGTGTTAAGCTAGCCTTTGTTCACTCGTCTTGCTTCTTTGGGGCTGAGTGTTTTTCCGGTCAAAGAGAGAGAAAGAGTGTCTGGCAAGGTTTCCAATCAAAGATTTGCGAACTCGTGTCTGGCAAACTCTCCAAGTGGTTATATATACAGAGTTATACACACCTTATAACTTCATCTGCGGTTTTGGTCCATAACTTTCCAAACAACTGCTCCACAGAATGTCACTGATAACACGTAACGCAAAAGAGTATTGAAGTATGACTGCACAATAAATGTAGGTCACAAAATCTACCTAAGCAGTCCCTTCGGGATTTTCTGTCTTTACATCATTCTAACCATTTCGTACTTGCGGGCGCAAACAATAGAAACGTCATCATTACCTAACGATTCCTCGCGGCCTTTCTTCGAGCAAATCGAGATTTTTTCTGGCATACTGACTGCTGACTATATATTTCAACTGTAAGTACTTTCCTTATTATGCGCGCGAGTTACTAGAGTCCCTCCTCGGCAGCCTAGTCCCCAGGCGTTTTCGGCTCGGTCATTCACTCTATCATGAGCTGTGACGTCACCGACAGATACTCGGCGAGAACGCGTTCTCTCGCCCGCTCTCTCCCAGACTTCGCGCGGACAACGGATCAAGAGATAAGGCCTAGGGACTAGGCAGCCTCCTCGGAATTTCGCCTTCTGTGCGAAATCCCTGCGGGGAGAACAATTAACACTTACATGAAGTCCATTTCCGCCGCAAATAGTAGGTGCTAGCCGAGGCGGGAGGAGGTAAAGGGGTACAGCAGTCAGTGATAAATTACCAATAAATAAAAAATATATATAACAATTATGGTGGATCCCTCATCTTATGGTGGATCCTTCATCTGTTTTAGTATATACTACTATATACTGTTTTAGTATATACTAAAACAGTGAGATAATTGAACTCAAAAATGATGATTTTTAACTCATTTACTGTTGTCAACGATTACAATTTTGGCGCGTAACGACCGAACCGGCGGCCGTCGCGTTTTATATATATATATATATATATATATATATACACCCGTTTTCAAAAAGGTTTTCATAGAGAGAGATATATAGATAGACATATACTTTTGTTCTCTTGCACGTGCGCCCTTGTGTATTTTTCACTTGTTATTGTCCAACTTGTGAAAAACTCGGTTCAACGATAAATTTTTTCGTCGTCGGGTTTTTTGTTCCAATTTGACATGTCGTTTTGAGTTTTTTTTTAGAAAAATACATGCGCCCTGCGATACAAATTTGCAATGGCGAATTATATGGCTGATTTTGGGAATGAGGAAAACATCCCGCGAAGAAGCCGATCCGCGAGTTATACGGAGTCACCGAATTGGTAGCCCAAATGCCATGGCATCTGTAGCAAGTGATAAAGCATTTTTATTGATAGAGTGTATTAAAAAATGCGCTGTCCAGGGGCGTGCTTAAGAGAAACTGTAGACTAACTTGAAAGCATTTGTGGCCGAGAGTTTATTCTGTCTTCAATGCGACACGTTGCCTTACAGGCCGTGATTTTACGAAAAAAGGTGAGACATTAAGATACATGACTAGCTCATCATGGTTATGATAAAGTCTGCTTCTATGAACCTCGTCATCGTCCGTTTTAATCAACTGCTATAATATTGTTGCTCCTTCCCACATATCCAATATGGACATCACCGTCACATCTTCCTTCTCAGCGGTTTCGAAAACACATTTTTTTCATTTCATCTGCGTTGTTTTAAAAATGAAAATCTTTGATGTTTTTCCCCTTATCCTGTAACGACAACAATTATATGATCTACAAGCGACCGAATTCCTCATTCTTCAATTTTCAAGAAAATGCAAATCAAGAGAATTGCAGACAGTGCTCGTGCATTATTTTTTTTAACTGACAAATTGGAACAAAGAACCTGACGAAAACAAAATTTATCGTTTAACCAAGTTTTTTCACAAGTTGGACAATAACAAGTGTAAATGCACACGGGCGCACGTGCAAGAGAACAAAAGTATATATCTATCTATATATCTCTCTGTATGAAAACCTTTTTGAAAACGGGTGTATATATATATATGTTGCATAAAAAAACGGTCCTTGTAAAAAAGCGTCATTTTTATGTAAGAAAAGCCGCTTTTTTACAAATTAACTGGATGTAAAAATACTGCTTTTTTACAAAAATATGTTTTTGTAAAAAAGCTGCTTTTTTTACAAAAAATATTTTTGTAAGAAAGCTGCCTTTTTATGTAAAAATCCTGCTATTTTACACATATAGACCATTTGACAAACCCATTTATCGAAGACAGGCTGTTTTTAGTTGAGCTTACTACATTTAATTATATCAGACCAATGTACACAATTCCGTCTTTAGAGTATGAGGGGAAACGTGTCTTTTTTATCCCTCCTTCTGTTGGCAATGGGAAAAAGTGTAAAGGTATAAATATCTCAATAGCACACGCAATTATCGCGTTGTCTGCTTTTATTAGTTAAACACATTTGTCATGGATTCTTAGCTATGAACTGGAACTAGGCTACATCAACAGGCTTAAGCCAGGGAATCTGTTCACATGCAATTATTCTTTAATGATTTTCCTCCCTAATAGCCTCAACTCAAAGTTACCTCCACCAACAGGAATCACTACTCTTTGAAAACGATTGCAGGCTTGATTAATTCAGTAATAGAGCTTTGTGAAACTATCTTCACTTTTTCTTTAGTTTCATTTTACGCAGGCGAATTGTTAAGGCTTTTTTTTAAAATTCTTTTCTTAACCATTTATCAACCACGTTTTCTTCTTTTATTTTCACCTTGAGTTTACACGAAGATTAAAGTGAAATTCTCGTTTCTCCATAGAAGCTTTGCAAACTTTTTCCAAACAACGAATTCTTTAAAGTTGATCTCTAATGTTGATGCGTATTTTGTTGTAGCGACACGCGGGCTCTTTTCCTACGATCCTTCTCAATCCTGCAAAGAAATCAAGGACTTAGGTATCTCCAACGGAGACGGGGAGTACTGGATTGACCCTGGAAGGACTGAAAATCCTTTTAAGGATTATTTCATTAGTTGATAGTTAGTAGGTTTTTAACTATATTATATTGTTAGGTAACTATATTATATTGTTAGGCGTCCCCAATTAGTAGAGGGGTTCTTAACCCCATCGGCTAGACATTCCAAGGCACATTAATAAAGTTTTATGTATGTATGTCTGTTAAGGAATATTGTGACATGACAACTGACAGAGGTATGGTTTAAGTTAAAGCCAGGGTCCGTTTTCTAAGATGAAGTTCAGGAAATTCTTACTACCTAAATAGGTATATACAAAGTTCACATCGATAATTTAGTCCTTACTTGCAACACTAGCTAGGCTTTGTGTGACAATAAGCAATTATTAGATGAGGTTGAGTATCATCTGAGAATTATGCGGGTCGAGTTGGGTTCAGCTTCGGCGAATAACACCCCAAGTAAGTGTATACGGTTGATGACTTCAATAGTGCAGGCTATCGCCAGAAACTATGGACAGCAGCAGAGAAGCCTGAGTACGAGTTAGCTCAGTTGTTTTGGTACTGCTAGAGAATTTTACTGGTTTTGCGAAGAAAAAAAAATACTCAACGGATAGCATCTGCTAATTGAAGAATAACTGTAAGACTAAGCATGCCGTTAAATCTTGAATTTGCCGAGAAACAGACAGTCACGCGAGAGCCATTATTTTATCAATTTGGAGAAGTATTTGAATGAATAATAATAATATGCATTTTTCGCGCCAAGCTTCATTTTAGTATCAACTTCAGACTAGCAGGCCTAGCAAGTCACGAATTTCTTAGTCCCGGGTTCTTAGTTCTGTAAAGTACCGCAAATGATCCCCAAAGTAGAGCGCAAATGATCCTCGACCGTAAATGATTCCCATTGCCGACCATAAGTGATCCCGTGAAAAGTAGAGGAATAGAATGGATTTTAGGCGTGGATGGTGAAAGTGCTGAGAACCTGCACAACGCGTAGAACAATGAAATGAATAAAACTATAAATAATCGAACTGTTTCTTTTGGTATTTTTTTCCCCCTTTCTTTACGGACATTAAGAAGGAAACTTGTCTTTCATTTTAACGCCTAAGAATAGGGAAATATGACCACTTTATTTATCACTCTATCACTCTGTAGAGGTTTCCGGTGAATTTCGAAATACATTGAAATACACCACCTACAGCTAATGAAAATGTCTCATCTGGTGGTAAGGACCTTGTCAGTGCAAACCTGTGTATTCATTTCTAGTGTCTGGACACAGAGACAGTTACAAACATACAGAATCAAGGAAAGAGAAACGAGGGAACGATTAAGTGGAAAATTTTGTATATATAAGCAAAGAATTATCCTAATGGGGTTGTACTAGAGTGAGCTTTTATCTGGGGTCGTTTTCAGAGACTTTAGCCGTTACAAACGTTATCATTTCCTAAAGCTGATACGAGGCCGGGTATGAGCAATTTCTTCTTAAGAGTATTGCATCTAATTGAACTATAGTATGTGAAGTTTAGTTCAGTGAAGCTTTAATGTTAACCAGCAATTAAGCAAGAGCTATTGATTTACTGAGCATTTAAGTGTTTCCCTTTTTTTTGTTTGCGTTTATTTGTGTTATATTTACGGTTTCTTATATTTTCAGTCTTGGCATTTATTTGTTAAATTTATTCAGTTGAATTTTTAATACTTTTTGTTGCGATAATAAACGTGACACGATGACCCAGTAACTTAAGTCCAGGCCATTCTCATTTTCCTCTCGGGATCATTTGCGGTCGACAATGGGGATCACTTGAGGTCGAGGATCATTTGCGGTCCATTTTGGGGATCATTTGCGGTCTGAGGATCGTTTACGGTCGGGATCAGTTGCGGTACTGTACAGTTCACGTGAGTTATATTTAACAATGATTAGGCCCACGGTGGGTTTCCGCCGTGTGAATTATTTTGAACTAAACATTACTGCTTGTTTTGGCCCACATGACTGATAAACCAATGATAAGCATTTATCGAATTTCAGGGGGATGGCTTCTTGTATCCAACGTTGTTTCGCACGGTTCATCTCCCACTCAGTTGCCAGTTAAGACATCGTACCGCGGAGTAAACAGCAAAGAGATGGTACTCACAAAAAGCGCCATGAAGGAGTTGAGAAATCACTTGCATTTCAGTCAGATAAGATTCCACTGCAAAAAAAGAGGAGGTCGTACATTTCACATCACCACGGCTGCTAACAGCAAAGGTGAAGCTGCTGTGAAATACCTCAGTGGTGAGACAGATCTGATGCCTGCCTCTTGTGGTTCGTTTGTGATCATGAGCAATGATAACTCGCGGTTAGCAAGATGTCTGCAAGGATTGGGGGGTACCAAAGAGGTTCTTTCAAAGTTGGCAAATGGGGCGCCGAGAGAGATCAGAATAGATTATACGACCACCCTGCTTTTGCAGAGGCAGCTTACCACTGGCTTCTTGTACCGTCTGGCAGGTGGGAATGCGACGATTTTGTCGTGGCAGTGTCACGTGGCGATTTTTGGAAAATCTTTGCGCGATAAGAAGTCACCATAAAGGAAGTCTTCCTCAAGGTTTAAGGGTTTTGTCTTTTAAGGAAGCTTAACGCGTAGGCATTATTCAACACCATGATCTAAGATAAGAACTAGTAAGAGGTACTGCAATGGTCTTATGAGTGAAAGGAAAAAAAATTAACGCCCTGTATTAAATGGCATGGTATTACATTCAATAAAAACAAAGAAAGTGGGTAATTCAGTAGTGTTGGCTTTCCTTCTTACTCCCAAAACCATGGAAATATGCAATTTAGCGTAGATAGCCTACTGCAGCAGTCAAACTAGCTCCATAGCATGCTTGTTATTATATCCGTGTTCCTCAAAATTATAATTGTGCAAATTAATTTTGGTTCGTTCCTCGCGCTCTTCGCCGCTCCCATCTCCTGAGACAATTGCAGTTTGATTTTCTTAAGCGACCCACTAAATCTTCGCATTTTGGGTGGTGGTCTTATGGATAGTTCGACTGTAATTGCGCATTTTCCATTAATACCATTATCGTGTGGTGGAACGACAGAGTGTTGCAGCACTGATCCATTCATGTTGAAACACAAGGAGGTCAAGGAGCGGATCAAGAGGAATTATGTCTGACCTTAATTCCTGAATTTTTCGAGGTGCGACTGTGGCTGTACAATCGTATGTCATGCGATCGTGTTTGTAGTCCTGATATAGTCGTCGAATGGCACCAACACTGGTAATCTAAGCAGAAATGATGGAACTCGAAGGGTGACGTTGGGTGACGTCGTTGCAAGGCTGCCTCGTCCCCGGGGCTTGACCTAAGATGGCCCATTTAAATACAAATCCAAACACAATAAAAATAATAATACAAGATATTTAAGGAGTATTAAAAATATATCAGTCTGGCTTGTTAATATTAAATGCTTTGCAATACGCCCCTAGTTATAAGTGTAAGATAAGATGAGCAATATGTGTAAAAGTAACTAAGAACTGAAGTTGGTATTATTGCCAATTTTTAGTAGACTACAAGCAGTCTCTCTTTTTTGCACTTCCCTCACTAAATCTGAAGAAAAAAAGAGACTGCTCAAGTTCAATTTTTAGGGAAGTCTCACGTTACCAGCAGTTTCCACCTGACAAAAAAAGTCCCGTCCAGCAGTCCGGGTAAAAGTTGATTTTCTTGTTGGGCAAGTGACTTTTAAAGCTTACTTGCTTAATGGTCAAGGGTCCAGGCAAGTCATCCTCGGACAAAATCATTAACTAAGACGAGCAAGAAGTGGCCCCGGGCAAGCAGAACATGAGGGCTGCTTGCTTAAATGACAAGCTGGAAATATTCGAGGTTTTTTCACGCGATTTGTCGACTATGGCGAAAACTAGAGATAATAAAAATATTTAAGTAATAATGTTACCTTTAAGGTTTAAAGCTATAACACATTCATAAAACTTTGACCGAGTGGATTAAAGGAACAAAACTCTTAAAACAGGACGATTTACTATTTGCCTATGGAAAATTCACCGAATGCAAGGAACTAATCAAATTTGCTCTTAAAAGTATTTCGTGAATCTGTATTACAAGGAGAAACGAACAGTTGCTAAATTTCTACGCTTCCTAAGTAAATGTGAGGTATGGCATGGTTTGCTGCAATATCACATTCATATTTTAAGATAGACTTAAAGAAGTAGACAATGGAGTAGACGAGACATTGTTGAGTCGCTCAAGCAACTTATTAAATTTGAACGGGGAAGTTTCTCCTCATCACTTCCACGGGATGATCGCTTGACTAATCACTAATCAAAATTGGGTCAATACAGTGCCGACTTCAGACTTCATGTACATTTTTGAACTGTTAGAAACCTCTTGCGTTTGATTCCACTTGGCTGTGTTCAAGCAAGAAGATCCGAATTGCTTAAAATATATAATAAAAGAATTCATAGTGAAAGTAATGCTCTCTGGTCCAACAGAAATTTCAGTGTTTCAGTTATTTTGTATCCATTTATGTACACAATCAAAAGCTGCTTTTGCTAAAATGTGACCATTGCAAGTCAGTCATTGATTCCAATATCTCTGCTGACAGTAACACCGAGGTTTGACGAGTTCCTTCTTTCCAAGCGCTCGAAAACACGAAATGTGGATTGCTGGCAAAGACATTGCGGCAATGTCACGAATAAAACGTTGATATTTCTAATGTTAATCCAAAGGGACAGTTAAGAAGACTGACGCAAGAAGACAAGATTTTGGCAAGGCTAAGGCGGCTTTAACACATATATCACGAGAATAAAAGTGAAGCAGAACCAGTCCTTCAACAGGCTAAGGTGAAGCAGGGAGGCAAGACACTCGATAGGCAAAACTATTTTCTGTGAACTTAAACTTATTCTTAAAGTGCTCTAAAGCCACTAGTGGTTGGGAACTGGTGGTTTCGTGCCTGGTCGGATATGAAATGTGTGTGAAATTCATACCCGTGGCGTTATATGTATACATTTGACCGGTGTTCAGGTGGTTGGATAGGGTTTTTCAGAGGTAATACCTCCTAAGTTTGAATATACACTAGGTCGCCATTAATAAAGATTTGGAAAACTGATCATCAAAACTGTATTAGATAAAGATGAATATTTCCTTTGATCAGTGTTACAATGACATCAGAGTTGTCATAGTAACGAAATGGCGTCATTACCTATTCTACTTACATATGAGATCCCTTGACTTGCGGCCTGCCTCTTGGTATTTCTTTTCGCAACTGCAGACGTTGCGTCTTTTACTGCGATGATCTTATCACATTTATTTCTTCGTCCTGCAGTTTCAATATATGAAATTCATGAACCAGTTTAATAACCAGCTCCCAGTTGTCTTGCCGTCTCAATTGGTTAGAGCCATGCACCGGTATCTCAAAGGTCAAGGTTCAATTCATGGCAAGCCTGGCAGGTTTTGACTGCGATGATCTTCTCTGCATTGATATGTAACAACAACCACAACAAATACGTTATCGCAAAAACCTCGCGAGCCTACAAAAAGTCAGCAGTGAGAATAAAGGGAAACAACCACAAGGGAAAAAAAATTGTTCAACAAATGAACAAAAAAAAACAGGAACTAAACAGATAAAAAACATACAAAGAAACAGCAAATACAGTCGAAGCTCTTGTAAGCGACCACCTCGGAAATTCGAAACAGTGGCCGTAACTAGAGGTGGTCGCTTACGAGAATAAGCTTTCGTAAGCGAAAGCATGGTAAAACAATAGTGGGTGTTCGATTACGAGAGTTTAAGGGACTTTTTAATAATTCGTAAAGAAAGGTGTTCAAAACTAGAGCTCAGGTCGCTTACGGGAGAAGTCTCAAGGAGAGCTTCGACTGTAACTTCATCAGGATTTGAATCAACCACTAGGATGACGTCAGCTTCTAACCACACTGCGCCACGCTGCCACCGCGGGCAATAGTTAATTTGTGAGGTAAAATTATTAATTATATTTAAGCATTTTTCTCTACCACTGTTTGAAGCTGGTGCAAAGAAAATTAGGTATTTACGCGTATTTCAAATCAATTTTGCATTATTGCATTTCATTTAATCTCGGGTTCAACGGCTGATCGATGTACGGAGTTGAAATTGCCAGTCCTTGCTAAATGATGTGGGTCCCTAGACATTAACTACTTGCTTACGATCTAGGTACAACTAGATAGTCTGCGCAAAAGAATCTTGTAGTTGTACAATCGTGCTGAAAGCTTTCAACAGGTCGAGAAGCAGCGGAATAACGTACGGCTGATTAAAGCCTAATGTTGATATTTCTCAGTATTCTTAGTGTTATGTAGTGGTCATTGTATCAAAAATCAACCAATTCATCTCCATTGTTGCAATTATTTTCTAATCTACCAATTACCTACAAAAAATTCCACCCTGCGTGATCTCTAAGTTCTTTGTGTGTACTACGCTACTCGGAGTATACGAAGAACTACATGTATTTAGTGACAACACGGAAAAACGCAAATCATAACTTAACACATTGCCTGCAATAAATTCTCTTCCAAACCGTAGGAGTGCAGTAGATCGGCTGTTTCGGTACCTCTTCGAAAGAGACAAAAATGCGGTTTGATTTTCGTAAGCGACCAACAGGGGGGTAATTACATGAGACCGGGACAACCTCGGACAGGTATGAGTTCGTATCGCTCTCCATACATTTCGTTTCATGCATTTACATGGGACCGGCTTGGACCGGCCTAAAAACGAACTCAGAGCGGTCTGACTTCGTGTCGGTCGCTGACCCGACACGAGTTATTTTCGTACCGGTCTGAGACTGCATGTACCGTTGTCATGTAAAACGGAAACGAATCTCAGACCGGGTCCATAAATAGCATGTTGCTTCCTATGGCTCCATCGTTTTTACTTTTTCTTAGCAAAATAAGAACACTGCTATGAATTATAACTGTAAACAAGACTTGGAAGTAGCTTTAATTGAATATATGCTTCGGTTAATGTGAGGGATTGCACCATTTTGAGATGATGTACATTTAACATGCCACCAGATGAGCGTTAGATAAAGTGTACAATTTTCCGGGAGCAGTAAGATCTTCGGTTCTCTACTCACTGTCTTAATTGGCGTAAATTGTGTACGCGGGGGGGGTACCTTAGGAATTTTTGGGTGGGGATGTGCCGCTTAACCTATACCAGAGCTAGTTCAGCTGAATTTTGCTACCCTATACTAGGGTAAACTCCTCAAATCCCCCCTATCCTAGAGTAGCTGTTTCCCTAGTCTAGACAAAATCGTCAACCAACTGATCAGTTTCCTGAAAAATGATACCCTATTCTAGACCCAAACGCTCTGATTTATATACCCTATCCTAGAGTAAACTGCTTGAAAACCATACCCTTCACAGCGGCACATACCTATATAGCCCATATATGGCAGTACC